TTTCACGAGCTCTTCGAGTGGCCTTTTAGGTGTATGTGTGTGCTCTGGTGTCCTTTTATCCTTTTCAGTTGTTAGACGCTCATTTAAACTTTTGGCTCTTAGCAGATTTCATTGTTTTTAATGAAACAGACAGTTGTTGCTTCGCTGTCTTGCTTTTGTATTTGTTTTTGTTTTCAGTTGGCGCTCTCATTTTGCATTGCACCCGCACTTTGACCAGGGCCATCCTTTCAGCCGGCTTTGGTTTCCAGATAACGCGCCATTTGTTTTCTTCTGGTCATTCGCCTAAGCCAATTTAAGTTGGCTAAAATAAATTAGCTCTCCTTTACTTTTTAACGAGCTCTGGTTGTGGGTCCAAACGACCCAAAACATCAGCAACAATGACCATAAGAAGCAAATGATGCGAAAAAGTGGACCTTAATTATTAAATAAATAAATTAGAGCATTTCCAGCGATTACTGGGTTTGGGTTCTATATAATACAAGTAGCTTTTTGATTGGTTTAACTTTTCGTAGGGGAGATTTTTTATTTATTTTCTGGATTATACCTTCATTTTTGTATTGTTAGTTTTACAAAAAAATATATTTCAAAGGTTCTTTCTTTTTCCTCTTGCATTTGATTTATTAAACCCTCTTGTATTTGCCTCTTACTATTTCCACTTTTCTGAATGACGTTCCCCTCGGTGTTGTTAAAATGCGGAAATAAATTACACAGAACTCGAAATTTAATCGAATGCTGGGTGGTTCCACTTTTAAAGCGGTGTAAAGGATGAAAATGCCAACGCGGTGTGAAATTGAAGCGGTTTGCACGATATGCAAATGCAGCTTGGGTTTGGCAACGGTGTTTTCGGTTCGACGGTCGGTCTACAGGATGTCCTGCCGAGAAGTCCTTGACATTTTTCGGTGGCGCCAATGTCCGACCCCCAACCGACCCCTTTGCCCCCAGATTCGTCAGCATTTTAATCGCGTTTGTGCATTTGCTTGGAAAAGTCTAAAATTGAACGCAAGTGATGGCAATTTGTACGCTTCGCTGTGCCTGAGAATTTACGGACGTGCAGAGGGCGAATTCGAAGGACTCGTTGGGGGGTTTCAATGGGGAGTGTGCCGAAATTAATATGCGTCGGCTCTTGGGGAACGGGGACAAACTTTTCCGGCCAGGGATTTGGCTGCTGTTGGCTATTTTCCTCTACCATTTTTACCCACCCGCCCATTTTCGGCTTGTTGGCCGGCAGCAGCGTTGGCTCGTGATTAATGTGGCAAATGCGCAGTTATAAATTATTTATTACTATTCCTCGCATTGTTTCCCGAGGCGTGTGCGAATTGGTAAGACATTTAAGCCATATTTTCAAGTGCCACAAAAGGTCAAAGGCGCGGCTCTCACAAAAAAGGGGGTTGAAATCTGCGTGGGGCCAGTTTAATATTCAGAGCGAGAATCGACGCAACTCGGGGCAGTTAACACAAAAATATTTTGTAAAATATTGACAGGAAACTTTGAAATGCTTAAGGGGCTTAGAAATACAAAACTGTCAAAAGGGAAATAAGTAAAGGAACTTAAAGAAAAATTGTTCGCCTAATAAACTGAAAACGTCAAAATTTTAGAAAATTATGTATGTATTAACAAGAATAAATGTAAAGACCAATAATCCAACATTTTTTTATTATTATTTTAATGAAAGGAGTCTAGGAAAAATGTTTTCCTAAGTGAAACGTTTGTTGACCCAGAGTTTAGAAGCTTGAACTTCCGTCCATCCAGGCTACTGTGCCATTTTCAATTCCATCTCAAACCTAATTCCCAATGAAAACATTTAACAAATTAAACGACAAAGCCAGCTAATACGTGTTTCCCTTGCCCATTTTCCCTGGATTGCTTTACTTTTCTCCGTTTTTCTTCTTTTTCTGGTGTGTTTAATTTTTTATTGCAAAAGTTTTGTACTCTGGCCGATCTCAATGGGTGACACTGTCAGCGATTGAAATTTATTTCGCATGCACTTTTTGAATCGAACAAAAATAGATTCCTTCCGCCATATTGAAACACCAGGAAAGTGAACAGGATAAGGCAGTTTCTGCTGGGTGGCTAGATGTCGTATATTGGTGGAAAAAGCAATTGAAAACTTCATCATGGTTACAACAATATTTTTACAACGAAATTGGCACAAAAATGTGTCCACGAACTTTTTCCGCAAAGCGTTAGAAAACTGGTGGCCAAAAGAGGGGCTAAAATGGTCATGGGTAAAGGGGGTTGGGGGAAAGGGGAGGGGATTGAAGGGAAAACTTTTGTGCCAGTTACCGACCACGCCCACGTCAACCCAGGACATCAACGCCCTGTCACGAATAAAAACTGAATTGATAACATTTTTCAGCTTGTTCTGGTTTTTTGGCGACTTTTTTCGCCTATATATATATATGTTTTTTTTTCCTCCATTTTGAGTCGGAACTTTTCTAGACTCGCTGCCATTGTTGTTGTTATTTAGTGCACCACCATGATGGGGTTTTTTTATGCGCTGCCTCTGTCCCGGGCAATTTGTAATCTAAACAACATGGCCCGGCTAACCGTTCCCCAAATCCACGTCGCATATCCTTAAATCCTGGCAAGGCGAGCGCTGGAAAACTGGCAGCCAGCAAATGACTAAAGACGCAGCTCGCCGGGACTGGGGGGCTATATGTAAAAATGTCGATTTAATATTAGCACCATGAAGGGAAATCAAAGTGGAATAAGAACAAAGTAGCGTTTTTGGGGAAAACTCTGGCAAAAAATGAAAAAGAGCGGACTTTTTGGGCTAGATAATACCTTGTGACGGGTGTAGGTTTTTCTTTGTAGTTAGTTCTTCGTACTAATCAAATAAAAAAAGAAAACTAAAAAGAAAAAACACTAAATAAAGAGAAATTTGGAAAAGAATATAAACCAATATGCATACAATTTATTTTAAAGCAAACAATATTTATTGGGTAATTTTATTTAAGAAATTAAAATTTATCCAAGAGTCTCTCAAATTGTTGTCCAAATTTATTTCAAACTAATTTTCTTTTAACAAAAAGTATATTTTTTTTTTCTTTTGTATTGGATAAATTTAAATAATTTAAATGAACTTAAATCCTGCGGGCGTTAAAAACCGAGCTTTTCTCTAGGGGCGAATTCACTGACAGCGCTTCGCTTTCAACCCATATAGAAATCCGATATACCCGGCGGCAACTTGTAAAGTAATGGGAGCATAAATGGCTGCAAGCAATAAAGAAAATGGCGGCTGACAACAGCTTCAGGTTCGGCTGCTTCTTTTTTGGCCAGGATGTGGCAGCTTGTTGATGATAAACTCTTATGACCCACATTGGCGGGGTGTTGCGGGGGTCACGAGGGTCACGAACGGCGAAAAGTGGGCGAGCTGCCAGCACACACACACATACATATTTAGTATGTAGTATGTAGTATGTAGCTTGTGTGATTGTTTGCGTGAAAGGGATACAAACGTGGACTCACACATATGGCCACACAACGATGGCAGCTGCATCCGGCGGAAGTTTGTGGCAACACTCGGTGTGCCCTCTCATGCCGATGGACCAACAAAACCCGCACACACACACACACACACAAACACACACACTTTCAAGTTAGTTATAAACGTTTATCGATATTATCTATTCCTGGCCCACTCTCCCTTGCTCTTGGCAAAGTTTTCGCTGGCTGCAGACAATGAAATGCAAACAAATCACTGCGCGAAAAGTTCACAACATGGCGGCAAAGAATGTCGATTTATGGGTGCCAAGTGGAAATATTATCGAAACTATGACTTTACAGGCAGTGGCGTGGGTGCAAAAGGGGGGGGTGAAGGGTGGGTTAAAAATATTGCCCCCAGGACTGCAGCCAACAAATGCGCTTGTTTATTGGCTGACTTTCTGGGTTGCGAGCGAAACTCATTCTTATGCACCGAGCATTGAGTGCCAGCAGAAGAGGTTTCCTAAATGCAACTTTACTTTGCCGAAAGTGAACTGGAGATTTGCATCTTTGGCAGTAAATGTGCAAGCAAGGACATCAAAATAATCAATACGAATAAAATTGAACGATACAAAACGAAGAGCCAAGGCAATTCCCCTGAACTAACGAGGTCACATTCTTTAATTTAACATTTTATATTTTCCAGGAAGTTTTTTGATTTTTTATTTCAAGGAAGCAGCCCACTTAACACACACCTGCTAAGGTCATAAATTTCAATCAAATATCGAGCATGAAGAAATTTTCGAAATCTTTTATCAGTTATGTGGGTGGAGAAATATATTTCGCACATAATTTGCAGTTGTCTGCCATTCGGCAGCCGAACAATAATACTAAAAATTTATCAAGCGACCCCATTCACGAAGTCAAACCCGCAAAAAAAAAGAGGTAACGCAGGCCTTGCATGATGAATGACAATTTCTGCCCGATTTATATGGCAGAGGAGAGGAGGGGGACATCGAATACGATGAGTCTACTCACAGTCACATTTCTTGCATTTTTCCCTCTTATTGCGAGTGGCGATAACAGGCGAAACAAAATGGACAATTCGCATACAAAATGCTTGTGCACAATAAATTATTCGGACGGCATAACAAAACAGGAAAAAACCAAGGGGGCACAAATAAAAACCGAATAGGAACATAAGTGGGTGTACAAAAAACACAAAAGGATTCGTTAAAAATGGTTGAACGAGGCAACGGGTTGTATGAATACTCTTGTAACTTTTTTATTAATCACCAAAATGATACAATTTAAAAGTTTTGTGTTTAATACACAACAAACAGTCATCGAAATTAAAAAATGTGCTCTTTTTGCGGAAAACCATTTTTGATTGCAATAACTTTCACATATGGTAGCGCAATTTATCACTCATACGTAGTGTTGTACACAGATATTGATAAATACTTTTAAGTTTTTCGGTTTTCAGTTTTATGGGTTTTAAATATTTGTTGGATAAGATTTTGGCAAACGGTTTAATTAATGGAAACCCGATTTAATTTGATAAATTGTGGACTTACCAGCCAGCACAGAGGTGGAGTTGTGACGGGGATCGTAGGGGCACACCGCCTGTCCGTTTTTCGTTGCCTCCAGCGTGTAGTTGCTGTCGCTGATGAGGTACGTGTTGCACATTGGCCGGAACGAGTTGGTGCCGCAAACGAAGAGGCGACCCGGCGATGGCACCACTATGATGCGAATGTAGTTCTGACAGGCCTCCTGGAAAGTTAAGAATTCAAAATTATAGTAATCCAACCATGAGAACTCTCTTTCTACAAATGAAACGTATTTTTCAGGCGTTTAATTACTCCTTTGTTTTGAAGCTTTTAGTTTTGTAAACTTTACAAACTACTCCATTAACCCACAACTAGTTTTCAGGTTGACCTCAGGTGTAAGAGGTCAAAGAGTGCGTTGCGCCCTTTCCCCCAACTACTTTGCATAAATGTTTCGAAAATTGTAATATTTAATGCGTAACCAAAGCACTTGCAAAACAAACAACGATTGTTGTTGCCACAGTTGTGTGCACCTGCACAACTCAATAAATATTAAAAGGCAAATGCGCAACTTGCTCCCATTTGGAAGAGTCACAGTGAATACATAAACGGCAACGGCAACTTTTCCCATAGTGCTGGAAAATTGTTCGCTGACATTTCCGGCGCCATCGCCACCAACACAACTACACCAGTGTGTCAGTGTGTTGCAGCCGGAAGTGTTTGCACTCTGACATGACAAATCATTTGAAAACTCGCAGTAACCGTTTACATTGTACACCTTTCATCTCTCTTTTACAGTTTACGTTAAATATTTCAATATTTTGTTTGTTGGCTTGCTGCTAATTAGTCCAATTATCTTTCGCATCCATTGCTAAAATAATAGATTCTATTGATCTTAAAATTTTTGCAATCAAAGACAATTTTACGTATTATAATCTTTATACAACTTTACAAGTAATTTAAAGCAATTTGTATTAAGTATTCCCCTCTAAAATTTCAATTCTATTCTTGCATAAGGACTACCTTATTTTAATATTTATGTTTATTTTCCAACTTCTATGCTTATGCTGTCTTGTAATCACACAGCTTTCATTTAATTTAGTTCATTGTCCAAAAATATTTAACATGCTCTGGCCTTGTTTTCCAGCATAAAATAAATTAACAAAACAATTACGAAAAGAACAGGGAGTGAGTATGAAGCTGTGGTTTTCATTATTTCTCTTGTAATTAACACGCATAGCAGACACAGACGGACAATGTTTAGAATGCAATTAACTGTGAAATTTATTAATTTCCTTTCAAAATGTTACGGCAGCCATCGGCTGTTTGCCGTTGGTTAATAAATAATTCAATATTTTTTTTTTGCTCGTTTTTATCAATATATAACTCCGTAAAAACAACATTTATTTTGGTTTTTACCACAATTTTATCAAGTTCCATGTGTGGAATTTAAATATTGCAAATAAATAAAAGTATTGTATATACCGAGAATTTTGATTTGATGGGTAAAGTCTGCCCTCCGGCAGTTTGTGCTGTGTCAGTCATACTTCATGTTCAAAAATTATGAAGTGAAATGATTTTTATGTCCCTGTCCTGTTGGGCTGAGCTTCCGTTGTCCTGTCGTGCTTCAGAATCATTAACGGAATTGTTGTCTACCTTAAGGCATTTTGGCAGCAGTCAAAAATGTTTTCTGGCTTTTTCTTTTTGAACTTTTCCTCCAATCGACAACGAACAATGAAACTTTTCCATGGCCAGAAGTTTGGTATTGTTTTTCTTAAAGTCTAATGTCTTTTGTGGAAATATCATTTAGTCTTTTAAAGCTTCTTTTGTACAGGAAACTAATACAAGTAATGAAGCTTGAATTTTGTTCGAAACATGGTCTGATCGGGAAGAAATTCGGTAGTAACGAATGGAATTGGGAAACCGAACAAGTGGGTTAAACGAGCGGTTGAACGAAGGGTTTGGGCCAGGATAAATCAAAAGGTATTCAGGCAGACAATGGAGGAGGTTGGTAGTTTTGCTCAACGCAGCATTAATTTACCCTGCATTTTGCAATCGAACAATGGTCGATTCAGATTCAGATTTTCTAGGAAAATGCTGTGCAAGCCATTTGCAAACCAACTCAAATGTTTAATGACGAAACAAGAGAAGTCCAAATGGCAACGTGCGTAATATTTTGTGATTCGTTAAATGAGTGCTATTCTTTTTTTGTAGCTGAATAAGCTAGGTAAAGCTATTTTTTTTGATTACCAGACGAATTTCAGAGTTTCTTATTGATTTTTTGCTTGGCTCTTTTAAATATTCATATTCAACGAAAGCGTTTGAATATTTTATTACTTTTGTTGATAAATGGAATGAACATGTTTATATTGACCGCTCTTTTTTCCGAACGCCCCACAGCTTGTGTGTTTGCACAGCTTAAAAAATTGTTCGCGAAGAAATCAATTAACTCAATATTATGCATTTCATCGAAACTATACTGTTAAGAACAAGTGGCAAAAAATACATAAATTAAAAATGGCGGATCGTGTGAATTCGATTGATGCTTACGTACATATTTGACTTTAAAACAATCTTTTCATTTAAGGCCATATTTTTTCTGGCTTTATTTCCCATTCGGTTCACTTTTTATAGCGTGAGCTAAAGTCATGTTATTTGTAAGCCTTGAATGCATTTCGCAATAAAAACATTGCAGGCTTTTGCACCTAGCGTCCTTTGCCTGATTGCCAACTTGATTAACCCGACGTTTTCGCATCCAAATTAGTGGCCAAAACGCCGGTTAATTAAAATTGTAAATTTTGAACTTTTCTTTTCATTTCTTCTCTGCAGTCAAACAATTGCAATTTATTTTTAGCGGTAAAAACCTTTTGTGGGAAATGGCATCGCCGCACGCCATGGCTACAAGTCCGAAGAAACTTTGGCTCCTTCCTCCCTTTGGATGCCATAAATAACACGACCCACCCGTGTGCACAGACATATAAAGTGACCCCACTCAGGTGGAGCCGGCAAGCAAATTGAGTTCAACAAATTACACCTGCTAATGCTCTGGTTCGCCTTATTTTCGCTGCTACTGCTGGCTCTGCAATTGCTGGCACGACCAGCCAACAAGTGTTGGCTAATTACGTGAGCAAAAAGCCAAACTTGAAGTGCACTTGGGCATGCACAAAAAAGCTGGGGAAAATACTGAAAGGGCAGATAAGGCAGTAAGAAATTGTGTTGGGAAATGACTCTGGAACTCGTATCCTAAGCTTAGATAACTATGCACAATTATCTTTAAACATTTATTTGAGGAATAGATTAAGATATTTAAAGATTTCAATTTAAAATATATATTTTTATAAATAAAAATCGTTTTTGGCAAAAACTAGCTTTAAATATTTATGTAGTTTTAGACAACCACTTTGAGCAAGCCAGTTGACCGGAAACGGAAGACGAAACAAAAACCCCATCAACAAAGACAATTTGAAAGCCAAAATATTTGCCATTTCCATTAGGGAAAAGTTTGCTTTCAGGCTTTGATTTGCTCGCCCCCTCTCCATATTCAATTTACCCCTTTCACTCTGCTTAACTGGCATTTTCCTAATAGGTCAACTGCAGTGAAGAGTTTTCAATAAATTTCCCTGATTTCTTAGCCACAAAGAAGAAAAACACAAGAATAGGGCAGCAACAGAAAAAGTTGCATAAATCAATTTCTTCTTGCACGGCGTTCTACTTCTTCATAGTTTTCCATGTCTTTAGCGCGAAAAAAGTTAAGATAGATGGCGAGAAAGAGAGAAACACTTTATTGCCCTGTTTTTGCATTTCTCTGGCGACGGAAGCAACAGCCAAAGTTGAAATCGAAATGGAAATAGGAATGGAAATGGAAATTGCAAGGCCATCAGGCTAAAGTGCTAGAAAGTTGATAAACAACACGACACAAAGTAGAATATGCAATAAAATGGGCATTTTGGTTGCTAACTGAAAAATGAAAATATTGTTTCAGGTGTTGGGGGATTAATTGGCACACTTTCACAAGTGTTGAATTATTGATTGCGTAGAGGTAATTTATTTTTGGTGTTTTTTCCCTTCGGTATTGTCTTCTTAAATATTCATACTACTTAAATTAAAAATTAGTACAATTTTCATGCCTTGTTACTGCTTTTAGCAACATCTTCAAACAATTATATTTGCTATTTAAACCCCTTTTTTTGGCAAAGTTATTTCAAATTGGCATATAGATTGACTTAAAGTTTTCACTCACCTCATCCTTTCCCTTGACCAGACACATTTTGGTGTCGTCCTCGGGCGATGTCCAGACCAAGCGCTGCTGCTCGACGAGATCATGTATGCTTAAATTAAAAACCGTATTTCTGCAAGAGACAAAGAACAAAATAGAAGATAAGAAAGGGTCCATCAAAGAAATAAAATATCTTGCAGATAGAATTTGTGCGGTTCTCGTTGTATCATCCTTATCAGTTGAGCAAAAGGGCAGCTGGCGGTTACGGAGAATTAATTAAAAAATTAGTTAAAATTCATTTGGCCTTTTCGGGGATGGCAATCAACACGCAGCCTGTGACCAGAGGACCACAAAAAGCCTCTGGTCTATGTTTTGTTTTCTGTTTTCCTTTTAACCTTTTACCCTCCTGTCGGCTTGAATGCGATATTTGTGCAGAAATTCCAAAATTCTCGTTAATAAAATTTTATACACCCACACTCACACTTATACACACACACGTGTGGTGCACGTTCGTGTGTCCAAGTGCGATCCACAAAATGAAGTGGTGCAAGGATGGGCGTGTCACATGGATGGGAGGCGGAATTTCATAAAATCAACTCATTGATTATTGAAACCACAACTACGTGTGAGTGCGAGTGTGTGTGTGTGTGTGTGTGTGTGTAGGTGTATGTGTGGTTAGTGCACCTTGGTGTGGGTGTACTTTGGTCGAACACTTTATGGCTGCCGCATACGGGAATCAGCCATTGAAGCACCCCAAAACCACCCAAAAACCTGCATAAACCGACATCCTTATCGAAACTTTCCAAATTTGCCTTTTTTTTTTGTTGCGCTTCGTTTTGTGAATGCAGCAAAAAGAGCGGAAAATTTTAAATAAATACATAGATATGCAGATATCATATTTGTGAGCGCAGTGGGTTTGCATACAGATGGCCAAATTGTGTGAGCTTTCTAGTTAAGAATCAACATGCAATGTATCTAACTATTGAATTGGAGTATTTATATAAGATTTAAAAATAAATTGAAGTTCTTTTAGGGGAAACCTTCGGAGTTCTATTTGATTTCCAATGATGTAACATAAATCCCCAAATGAATGCCACACACATTGCTAGCAATTTATTACTCTAATTGCAAGAGCAACTGCGTTGAAATGAGAAAATAATAAGTTCTCAGTTAGAATTAAAACAGTTTGTATTTTATATTTGATATTCTGCATCAGCAAAATGTGGCGATAATGGCCAGTTTCCAGTTGCACTCCACAAATGCAAACTAAGGTGAGCTACAAAAAATTAATGTCCGTCGGACCAACTGCATATTCCCCACTGGAAAAAGGACGCTTCCTAGAACAGGACACGGCCTTTGTTTGGCAATTATGCAGCGCGTTTTAATTATGACAACGGCAGAAGGCAACTTCAAACGAACGTGCACCATCAGCAACATCGCAGGACAGCAGCAAAATCAGCACAGTTGCAGCAGCTCCAGCTGCATGCCACCTCCCCCTTTCTTTTCCCCTCGGTTGTCACCGCCTGATGTTTCCAGGACGTATATAGCCAGATATACGCGTGCGTATGTACACATAAAATGCGCTGAACCAAATTAGCATATAAAGGGGACAGTCGCCGTAATGGGTTGCAGCCGGGCTAGAAAGCCAGGTGGAAAGGCTCAAATGTTGCTGATGGGTTGGAGAAACCGTGCTGCGAAAGTTGACCAAGCTCAACTCTGAATACGCTGCTCGATGAATTGATAATTGGATCTACAAAATAAGTTTTGAACTCATCTTATATACAAGAATCAAGTCAGAGGAATTTATGAAACTAATATATGTAGAGGTTTGTCCTTTTTAAAACTTTGACATCATTTTAAAAAGTTGCCGATTTTCTAACAATGTTTTTTTATATCTTCAATTACAACACAATTTTTTTTAAAACGAGTTTATAAAAAATATTTTACAAAATGTAAAATTTCGATTGGAAGAGACAAGGTATTTATTTTTGACTGCAAACAAGGCCCCGAAATATTTTTATTTCACAGCGTTTTCGATGCAGAACTAGTGGAATATGTAAAAGTGGTACAAAGGGTGTTGAAATTGCTGGTATTTTCTTTTTTTAGTTGCTGTCGCTTGTCGGCTTGCAACGCTCACAAACACATAAACACTTTAGCGCATTGCTTAACACACATAGGCACACACATACACAAAGTGCAACAAGCAATTCAAGCGCTTGTGAAAATGTCGCGGAAAATGCCAAAGCGAGGTGAATGCAAAGGGGAAATTCGACGGGGGAAAATGCGGGCAGCGGTATGTGAGTGGAGTGGAGTGGAGCATTTTAAAGAACGCATTTGGCGTGAAAACCGAGCTCATAAATATTTTCCACACGGTGTAGTGTGTTAGTGTTGCAGTTGTCCCAGTTGTTGTTGCTGTTGTTGTTGTTGTTGTTGCCTGCGAGCAGTGAACGCAACGATTACGCCAGGATTTCCACTGCTTTGGCTCGTATTATCCTGCCCTTGTTGTTCTTGCCACTCCCCGATTCCCCTTTCCCCGCCCCCCGCTGCAGTTGCACATTTAGCAATCCTTGTTGTTGCCGCTGCTTTGCAGTTTATTATTATGCAGCTTAAACGCAGTTGGCAAATATAAAGGGGAGTACGTGGGGAGTTCCTCTAGGAAAACGTTTACATTTAGTTGGATGAAACGTTGGCGATAATGAGGCAGCACTATACAAGCAAATCTGCCCAATATTGGGATACATAAAGTCGACAATATGCTTCAAATTAAACGAAACGAATAGTTGAACAATACGATCTATTAAATACGAGCAGGGTTGGAAAATAATTCCTACAATAGTAGACAATTACTTTTGCAAAACGAGAGACCCACCGAATTTAAAGCCCAATCAATAAATACAATAAAATTGATTATTCAGAAATACTAGAAAATAGAAAGAAATAAAATTTTATAAAACTAAAGCTGATAAAAGGGGAAAAAGGAGAATCAAATTTACGAGAGTGTGTGTTAACGATAACTAGGCAAATCAGACTAACAAACATTTATCGTGGTAACCATTTAATGGCAGACCGTGGGTTTGAAATACCTGCGGTTTGTGGAAATGCCATTCCAAAATAATTCGTGGTTTGCACCGACATGAGCGAAATTTTGTTTAAACAGAAAATGAAACCATTTATAGATTCAAAACAAAAACTTTAAAGAAGGTATTCAGTAAGTTATAAAATAAATATCTCATAATATATGAATTCAAAGTAATACCAAAATAATGCGTAAGAACTGCCAATTACATTTTGCACCAAATTTCAGACCTTTTATACGCTACATTTTCGTATTTCTGTAAATGTAAATTTAATTGCATTATAACAGGCAAACAGCCCCATTTATTTGCCAATAACAAATTTAAATTCATTTAAAATCCGCTCGTTGTTCGCCACCTTCTTTAACCAACCGACAACCAACAAACAAATCATCCATCCGCCGTGTTGCCAGCCATCCGAACAACAGGAACAACAACAACCAAAACAACAACAAGGACAACCAGCAGGAAGGCAAAACCCGCAGGCAGGACCCTTTTCAAATATCAGCTGAATGCAAAGAGGCAACACGAAACAAAAGCCACATGCACATAAATAACGACATTGCGGTCGAGAAGACCTCGCAAAACCCCGAAGAGGGTACATGTAGAGGGTATCAGTCATAAAATAGATTGGAACAACCTTTAACGAGGCAAGACGAATGCGAGGAAAGAAAACTCGTGTCGCCATCGCAACCGCCGCCATTTTTGTGGTTTGACCCACAAAAAGTATCGAGTATAAACAGAATGAGGCAGTGTCCCAAAAACAAAAACCCAAAAGTCTAGACCCAAACGAAGGGAAACTCAAATAAAGATTGAGTAAAGAGTAAAGAGAACTTGTAAATTACCCATACGCAACGTTGTACATCTTTTCTCATGACCTTGGTTAGGCCAACATCTTTCTTCTCTTTTCCATTTGATATATCAATGCTTGAATGATTGATTTGATTTTCGAGCTTGTTTTCTAGGTATTTCTGCCCTCTCAAATGTAAAAAGTCTACGTAACATGTAATACTTGGGAATTATGTAAATTTAAGAAGCTTTCACATTCTAAGAAAAATGGTTACAACTGAAAATCATTGTCGTTGGCAAATTACTTGAATAATGGAAATTCGCATGACACTTTTCAATAATCGAGCGAGCTACGTGGAAAAGTCTCAAGTATTGTGAGACTTTATTTTGCAAAGTTTATTGGGTTTCTTATGCAAATTTTTCAAGCAACGTCCTTGCGTGCTTTTTTGTCATTTGAATAAAGAATTTAAAGTCTTAAAAAATACTTTCAAAAATTCAAAAATTAAAATTTTATTGAGTTGAAGAGAGTTTATTTAGAGAATAAATCTGAAAATCCTAAATTAGAATAATTATATTTAATATAATTTTTTTGTTTTATTATTTCTAAGTTATCAATTTGCAAGGCAGTCAATACTCTTTTATTCTTTTTGGGACTTTTCTACTTTTGATAAGCAACGGTGGGTAAACTCTCCTTTTCCGTAAATCAATTCCTTATCTCCATAAATTTCCTTTGAATAGCCAATTGAGATGGCAAATTGCAGGACTGAATTCATCAGGAAAATGCCAAGGAAGGAGCCGACGTTCAATGTCACACGTCATCAGCGCCCCAAAGGAATGCCCCAAGGCAATCAGAGAAAAGAACACTCGACTTCCGGAATGCATTGATGCATTGATGCGTTGATGCCGATGCCGATTCCCATTCCGATTCCGATTCCCTTTACCATTCCCATTCCGATTTCGATGCACCAAACCCTGCGGAGGCGCTGGTTGCAGCTTGGTGGGCGTGGCAGGCGGAGGTTGACATAACGGTAAATGGCTTTTCTGAATAGCTAAGCAAATCAGGCAAACTTCTCATGTTTCTCCGCTTTCGAGGCTTTTCGGTTGGGGAAAATTTATGTTTGTCACCGCCATTTGCATGCGCTCGGTGTCTCAGTGTGTGTGTGTGTATGGGTGTGTAAAACGGCAGCCATTGCAAAAAATTATTGAAGCGCAGCGGAGAAAAAAGGGGAATCCTCCACACACACACACCACTTATAGTACACACACATCAAACACATCCATCACCATTTCGAGTTGAGCTTTTGTCATTTTTCATTGACTTTTTGACTCTGTCAGGGATACGGCTTCGACTTCAACTTCATTCCGCATCATTCGATGATGCTGACTAAGCCAATTCAGGATTCAGGACTTTGGATGCCCCTACTATACACTGAAATAACTATTTCCTACCGAAACTATTACATTATAAGCGTTACGAGTAGAAAAATGGCCTACAACCATTTTTAGTTAAAGAGTAACAATTTTTTATAATTACCGATTGCTAATTCAAGAAAATCAAAATCAATTTAAGATTGTTTTCGGTACCAATTAGTTTTGAGTGCATTTCCTAGCTGATTTCCCGGTCGACGGCTTGCATTTCCTTGTCACTGACCAAAGTTGTTCCCTATGTGCAACAAGAGCAGCCAAAGCGAACGAAACCAAATCAACCCACGAAACCCCCGAACAGAACCCCGTTATACCGTGCCATTCACTCAATGGAGGCAGAAAATGTCGAAACTGTCAAATGCCAAAAACCCAAATGTGAATTGCCCGAGCTGCTGAGCTAACCCTCAACTTCATATCGTTGTAGTTGCAACGCCCCCGGCGCCACCCCATTCCGCCCACCGAACCAATCAGTCCCGTTAACCAGGTGGTGGCGTTTGACTTTTGCCCTTTGGCCAAGTCAGGTGTGGAGCGTTTATTTCTGGCCGGGAGGCGGACATGCCAAAGCGAATTGCATTTCATCATTGTGGTCTCATAAGCATGATTAAACTCAAACTCTGTCCCGAAATTGGACATTTTTCCACAGCCCCCATAAAATATTAACTGCATTCTGGATCGGTTTTAATTTGATGACCACTGGGAGGCAGACAGCTTCGAATTGGATATCTCTCTGCTTTTTCAACAGTTGTTAAATGCGAACAGAGTGTAGAACAAAGAAACAAAGAAAAAACTCTGAGAGGAGTGTAAACTTTATTGATATAAAAAACTTTTCATTGATTATGTCTAACAAATAATTTTCTGAATGGTTATGCAATTATTCAATTAAAAACCAAACCATATTATGATGCACAATAAGAAATTGTATTATTATTTGTATATTTGTTAGAAATTAATAAGGGAAATTAACCTTGACTTGTTTCGATTCCATTAATTATTCAAATGTATCTTTCAAAGAGGAGTTCCTGCTAAAAGTCTTTCAAGCCATAGACAATAGCAAAAAAGAAATACCTGCAACAGGATCCTGTTCTCTGGCCAAAGGGCTTGGACTAGGATCATAAACAATAGCCCATTCAAAACAATGCGTAGGCTCCTCAAAAGCTTTAAAGCCACGGTTCGACATGACCAAACAATTCAATTGGAAATCCTTCGATCCATTCAACGGGACGATTACATTTCAATCCTAAGGCCTGATGGAATTGGCCACGCAGAAGGGGACTTAAATCGTCAGAAATTAGCGAATGCATTCTGCATTCACACATGCACGGCGCTGTGAGTAAAAACCAGCGCAAACGGAAATGAATTTGCGGTGCAGAAATAATTGTTGTGCGGTTGCACAAAGGACTCAACCCACACAGACACACACACACACACAGGCACACACAAGAACAGAAGAACAGAGTGAAATAAAAGATGGACACAGCCGTGCGAGTATGGGTGCGTGTTTGTGAGTAAAAGGAATTTTCAGACCTGCCGACAAAAGGAAAATAGCATACAAAAATTGAATCGCAGAACAGGGCAGACCGAGAAAATGTGCACCTATAAAATACTTGATTTAGTTGAGAAGTCTTCAAGTTGAATTTAAAAAAAGGCAGTTATTTTTAAACTCGATAATATACAAAACAATTTTTTTCCTATTATTTTTTGGGGAAAAAAACCGCAGATTTAAAAATTTGGCAGTAGAAACGTATTGTTATTTAAATGTATTGTAGAGTTTAGCTTAATATAAATAGCTTATTCTATTAATATAAGCCACTGTGTACTCTCCACGATTGTGTTGAAAAAGACGTTAAAAGCCGAAAGATAGGCTGACTTATAGCGCACACTTGAATCCAAATCCTGAGCGAAAAAGGCAGAAACACTGATAGAGTGAAATGGCGAATGAATCAAGGCCCGTTAGGCAGCGAAATGGATTTTTCCTTTGTTCGTTTAGCAATTTTATTTCCGCCTTTGTCGCGATTCATTCGATTGCCTGCCAACCTGACGTGAAGGGGAACGGAACGGAAACGCACGGGCGGAACGGAATGGAACGGGATCGGATGGCATGGGGCTGCCATGGAATGTGGCAATGACAGCAGGAAAAACGTTGGCACATATTTCCCATCTTAATGTGTTAACCCAATTTTCATGTCGAGCGCATTGCCGGGGAATATTTATAGATCGCAGCGAGAAAATCTAGAAGTGGTGGAAAAGCTTCACGAACATTTTGCGCTGAGTTGCCGCAGTGTGTAAACAGGAAGGTGTCCTGGTTTAGACAACCACTTTTAGGTTATTTGCATAAATGTCACAAGAGATACCAACAGTAATTGCGAAGGAAGTTACCGTAATGAGTTTAAAGCTTCGGAAGTAGCAAACATTTCCTATAAAATAAAAGTGAAAGGTTTTTGTTTAGACTCAGTTAGGTAGTTATAATTTTGTACTTTATACTACAGCTGTAGTTTTTACTGGTAGATAGCTTGTAAAAATTAGAAAACAACGTATCTTAAACAAAAGGAAGTATACGAAATTCTTTTGAAAGAAATGACATAAAACACATTACAACGGTACCTGCTGTGTCACAGGAAATGTAACGGTACAGCTATGCCATGAAAATAGGGCGTACTCGAGGACTGAGGTGTACTTCTCCTCCAGAACTTTCCCTACCACTCTTTGTTTTTTATTTTTTCTAACATTGTTCATGACGTTTCACATGCAAAACGCGTGTCACATTCGCATTTCCGCCTGTCATCCTAGTTTAGTTGGTCCACCCTAAGCCATCCTAACTCCTCCCCCCCGAAAAACACACCTACCTGCACGCACACTACGAAACCGAAGCCCACGCACACACACACACACTTAAATACACGTGGCGCTTTTTGGCTTTCACTAACAGTCGCCGGAGAGGTTTTCCTTTGGTTACTTTGACTCTTTTGGGGTCTGATAAGTGGATATGTGCGTGTGTGGATTCCCTTTCGCAATGCGAGTGTGCAACTTGTTAAAAATCCATTAATCACGTAAGTGGCAACTCTGGCAACGACATTGCCGGCATACAAATTTGTTCATGCGTGCGAGAAAAAAAAGGATGAGAAACCCCAACCCCTCACCAATTTTATGTCGGTGTATGCGAGAAATGGTTTGCGTGTATGTGTGTGTGTAGGGGTTCCTTTAATTTTGCTGCTTTGGTTATTTGGTTATGCTTTTGCATTTTACTGCCTCATTATCTTCACATTGTAAATTGCTCTGCTGGGAAAGTGCTCTGAAGATGTCTTTAAAATTAATTTAAAGAAACTATTTGCGCCATTATTTATACAAATTATACTTTGTAGATTTATCTGAAGATAACAAAGAAATATAATTGAGTAAAACTAACCTGCGGTTATTAATGGTAAATTCTAGAGCAACAATATTTTAGGCATTTGCAGCGTATTTTCTTCTAAATATATTTTTTTTAACTGTTTATCTGTTAATACTTTGTATTTGCCTTTTTTTAACTTTTCGTTCTTTAACTTTAATTCATTTCATTTATTTCTGTTTGCATTTAATGACCACAAACTATTTAAAGTTTAAGCCAAGTCTGGTAGTCTTGTATTTGATGTAGGAATTCGGTCTTGAATGTTGGTGCTTTCTATTACAAGCTGTAAGCATTCCTCGACTAAAAAAGTTGACACGACGCTACACACAGAGACAAAGAATCAGGCAAGTTTATTAAGTCTCGTTGGCCAACCGAAAAAGTATGCAACATTTTCATGTGTTTGTCAGTGCGTTGTCCGTGTGTGAGTGCTAATGCGGGTATGTGTTCGTATGTCGGCATTGTCTGGGCAAAATATAATAAACCCAACATTTACAGCAAACATATTTTGTGGTCTCTGACAACGACAAAATGTAAAATCCAGTTGCCCCAACCAGAAGTAAAGGGGTTTGAGTTTGGGGCCTTGGCAACCCTTTAAGTCTTCTGGGGTTATATCTCAAGAAGGAAGTACTGGAAACTTTAGCACAGTTTCCCATATCTTTGGGGCACCTGCTGCAAAAGTTTCCGCTTCCTTTCTCACTGGGTTTTTGTTTCTCTTGCCAGCGTTGCAAAATCAAAGTTGCCACGAACTAGCTAACGGTAGACTTCCTCCCCCACAAAATAAAAAAAAAAAAAACACCAGCTTTCCCCATATGAAACAACCCATTTTTGGCCCTGAGAAAGTTTGTCATGTTTTTACGTATATGGGGAAGTGAACATGCTCGTATCTTCTACTTAAATTAAATACAATGTCTGCGAAAAGTAAATTGAAGTTTGCTTTATGTGCATTTTTCACTTGCCCTTATCCTTCCCAATTTCACAAATTCGCTTCCTCACTCAACCGACAAAGTTTCTTTAAACGTGTTCAAAATAATTCCCCAGAGCCGACTTCCACGGAATCTATACCTTGGGGAATTGACATTGTAGCGAAGTCTAAGCGGATATTATTGAGGGAACATACATTGAAGATTTAGCAAATTGTGTCTGCAAGTATTTATGATTATTGGTGCTTTGAAGTATTTTTTAATAACTGTTAAAACAACAATGAAACACATAACATAGTTAGTTTTATATATATGTATTCATTATAGAAAAAGAGAAATCAAACTAAATAAACAAATTTATAAAATTGAGAATTCCATAGCTGCACCTTCTATCAAACCAGTTTCTATTTACCAAGTTAAAGGATAAATGGTCTCTTACCTGGCACCGATGAGCAGACTGTTGCCATCCTTGGTGACGAGCTTGAAGTGATCCACGACACTTTCGTTGCCCACAAACTTCAGTACATCTTCGGGACCTGCAAAGCGAAAAGAAAAGAGGATTATAAATAAATTGCACCGGGCGAACAAAGGGGAGTGGGGGTCGGAAAATGGCTGGGAGACAGACGAGTTGGCCGGATGGTTTTGGTTCGGCCAGCAAATGCCTAATTAGGCAATTAGGCGGCGTTAAAGGCGACAAAAAGCAGTTGAGAAGAAAGGAAAAAGGCAAGCGGATAATCTGGCAGCAAAGTAAAAAGCGGTAGAAGGCTGAGAGGGAAGGGGAAGATACGGAAAACGCTGCCACATGGCGGTGCACAGGGAACCGTTGCATCTGGAGTTGGAAAAATGGGGAAAATGGAAATGGGGCTGGAAGTCCTGATGGCAACTTTCCCCCGTTGATATGCAAAAAAGGGCAGCTGAACTAAGAATAGCCCGTTTAGCAACAGCTACATAATCAGCAGCTGCAAGCGCAATTTTTGTCGTTTGTTTTTGTTGGTTATTTGCATTTACTTTTTGCCCCCGCTCCGGAAAATCTTTGTTGGTTGCCACTTGCCACAAACTGCAGCCAGTTCATCTATTTATCTGTCTGGGCGATATAAAAAAAGACTGTTTTCACGGAGATTAAACCGCAAGGTAAACTCGGTTTCCAGATAAATCATTTAGTGTTTATTAAATAAAATAATTATCAATATTTACCTCATAAGCAATTAAACAAGTTTTAATAAAATCATATTTATATATTGTCACAAAGAAATTACTTATTTCTTTTGTTGAAGTAGTTAAGTTATTAAAGCAAGATTTTTTAAAGATTTGTTCATACCCTGAGGAAAGTTAAATAACGTAAATATATTTACCAGATTTAAACTCCGAAAGTTAAAAAATAATGTAAATAACCTTTAAATGATTTCATAGATCTTCGTTTATGTAACTTTCAATCTTTATTTAGTATTTTACGTTTCCCTCTTGGCCAGTTTTCGATCGTTGATGTTGCACCAGCTAAATATTATTTTTCTTATTTTCCTTAACTTTTTTGCCTTTTCAGCGAGCTTTTAACTTTTAACTGCAAATGTTCGGTCAACCACAAAAGAGCGAAAAAGTTTTCCTCGTTTTTTGCAGCAATGTCCTTTTCAGCGAGAAAATGGGAGCGTGGAAAAGGGCTGGGGGATGCCACCTGGTTATTGAAAGCGCATTTGGACGCTTTTCATGTTCGTCCACTTTTCATTTCAACGGGTGAGAATAAAAAAAAAAAGATGGCAAAAAACGAACGCTAAAATTAATGGGTAGAATGAACGCTTTTATGCACGAGACAGAGGAGCCTTTTGTTTGCTTGACATTTAACGTGACACGCGGGACATGTGCACAACTGTGGGGGCGGCATTTTGGGCTGTGGGTGGCATTTTGGGGCTGGAGCTGTGTGCCAACTATAGCAAAAGTTAAAACCTGAACCCGCCGCAACAGAGCCCTTCAAATGAAGCGACATTTTTTTAATTTGGCACTGTAATTAAAAGTAACAAAAGCACCAAAAAGCAGCTGAAGGAAAGGGAAAGAAAACAAAAGCTTGAGAAAGTCAAGGAAAAGTCGGGGAAAATGAAAATAACGAATGGAAAAATAATTATTGCAGACAAAAAACATGAAAAATCTTATGTTGAAGGATAGAATGAAGATGCCTTGACAAGATTAAGAGAAAAAGCTTAATGAAAAAGGTAAGAAAAAAGATAATAATGAAAATATGTTATATATAAACTTCATAATTTTTGTTGCAGCAATTTGGCTTATCTTAATCCTTAAAGTTGAGTTAACTTTGGATATTTATCACATGTGCATGCACATTGAATTATATTATTTTTCAAGCAAAAACATATAGAGCTTAAAGGAAAAGCAGTAACAAATAAATCTTCTTGGTTTTTAAATATTCTGTATTATTTTAATATTTGCTCTAGATTTTAAGACTGGCTTTGCTTTAGGTTCATTTCTTTTTATTTTCAAGACAATTTTTAAGCCTTAGTCATCGCTCTCGACCATTCTCATTTGTATGGTAATGATTCTCATTTGTTGTCTCTGAAGCTTTTGCTCACTCACAAAAGGACTGTGCCAGCCCATCTCATTACTCAGCGAGCCGCCCGAAGCACTTTTTGTGCTACAAGTCCAACTTTTGTTTAATGCCACCGCGGGCCTTTTGTCGACCTGGCCAAAAACTTTGTAAGCCCAAAATTGTAAGCTAATATTTGCCTTACCTACATCTGCATACAATGCCGAGCGCAAACACAGGCACACATTCATCTGCATAGAGGGAAAAGTGGAACCGGAAAAGAGCGAGAAATTCAGCAACCAAAAATCTAATATTTACCTTGACTTTGCAAAAAGCAAACTGCAAACTTACAAAAACAAAAAAAAAAAGAAAGAAGAGAACGCCAAATGGTCCCCAGTCCAATTCCTGTTTCCCCATGAGCACACTCGCATAGTTACATGCATATATAGGTATGTATATTTGAACAAAGGACCGAATAACCAGACAGGAAAAGGAAAAGAGAACACAGTGTCAGAGTCTATCACTTTAATCAACTGGACCGTCTGACTGCTCAAAATTATGCAAATTCGACGGAAAATAAAATAAAATTTCTGACGTACGGCATCTAGCCCGTGGCATGGAATGGAGTAAAGTCGAGTCCTTCGTGTTTGACATTGACTTGCGGACGTGACCGTGCAAGGACCAACCAACTTAATGGTCAACTTCCCGATCCTGCGGAACCTTACACACACACAAACCTATACACAAATCACAAAAAGCTAGCTGAGGCGACGAGGCAGCGGTGAGCAAATAAGCTGATTATTAAATATTTTCTTAATGAATTTTTCATTCGCACTTGCGGAATTCCCGAGCAGGTTGGCAGCCCCGCGACGACTGACGTAAATATTTACAAAAGATGGCGCCCAACAAAATGGCGTCCACTCGCAGGTGTGATGACCAACCATTCCCTGCATTTTTTTCACATCCGTATGCATTTCGAGGAGCGGCAGAATGCCGGCAAAAGGCAGAAAACAATGGTGCATTAAAAATGCAAAAACCTTTTCTTAAATGCAAGCCAAATGTTGCTCTTAGTGCTGCCAAGAGAAATAAGAGCTGAAAAATGGCGTTAAGAACGGCTGAAAGGCAAGAGGACTAACGCACAGCAGAAAGGAAACGGCAGTCTGTCAATAATAAAGTCTTCCGGAAGGAAAATGCAAAACGGAGGTCTCCTGGAATCTTAACTGGTTATAAAATGCAAAAATATAAAATGTTTGATGCAAAAATTGATTAAGAGAATTATCTAGTGTTGGAATTACATTTTTCAGCAATTTAATAAACTAAGTCTTTTTAAATTTATTTTTTCAAAGCCTTTTTTTTTAAAGTGAACCAAGTAAAGCCAAAGGCTACCTTTAAAGAAGTAAAGATTTTACATCAAGGTAATACCCAGGCCAGGAAATTAATTCCTGACACTTCTCATAAAAAATATATGAAAGCGAAAAAAAAGCAAGTCTCGATTTTCAAGGGTCGAAGGAGAAAAGCGGCTTCGCTTGCCGGAAAACAAAATGCAGCGACGCGTGAAAAACATTCCCCGACTTTGGAAGCGATTCCACACACCCCAGGAGAAGAGCAACAATAACACGTTGGACGGAGGCAACGCAAAAAAAAAAAAAAAAAAAAAAAAAAATGGAGAAGGCAAAAATCCCTCGTTGAGATTTGCATTTAATTGAAATGAACGCCAACGGTCGGCAGAGGACACATCAAATGGCCAGACCAGAGCAGACCAGACCAGGCCAGCCCAAACCAGACAGCATCTGAATCAGAATCTGAATCTGAATCCGAATCGGAATCCGAATCCTGAAACCAAATCGGACGCACAAAAGGCGGGAGGAAAAAAGAGCAAACGGCAAAAGGCCGAAATTCATGGACCCCGGAGTTCATCCTACTGGGGTCCTCCAAAATGAAATCCGAAATGAACGCCGCGAGGTGACCCTGGAACAGGACAAGGACAGTTCCGCCATATCTCCTTCGAATTCCAGCTTATCGAAGCACTGGCTCCATTCTGGTTTTCATCCCCCTTAGCTCGATTGCAGTGCTTGATTTGCTTTGATTTGTTTCGTTTGGATTCGTTTCGTTTTGGCCAACTCCCTGCTGCCATTACCAAAGTTGTCAATTTCGTTTTCTGCTGAAGTTTGCATCTTGATGGAATCTCGCCTTCTGCGGCGAATCACTGTTATTTTAAGGGGCTTTTCGTAATGCCAGGTGCAAATGGGATTGAGTACACTAAATCGCAGAAACCGATTTTCATACTGATTACCTACTTAACACATTATAAAGAGATATTTTAAAACAAATAACTGGGTTTAAACATATAATCTTTTATTCCGTTTGAGGCTTTCGCTCGTAAATGAGCTTATACACTGTTTCGTCAGTTGTCAAGTAACCAATTGAATTTACCCACAGCATTCACCCCGAGTAACAATCACAAATCATTTAAAATTATTCCATTACATATTCTGCAGACCTCAAATTTCCAGCAAAAAAAATGTTTAAAGCAACCCCCAATCAGTGGGGAATAATATTTTCACTCGATAAGCTTTTTTATCTCTCGCCTTTTTATGCAAACAATTTTGACCAAATCAAATTTATTTAGCGCATGTGACGACAGCCACGCCTGAATATTTGTGAATGTGGGGCAAGCCCCGCAAGTAAATAGCTTTGGGGCATACACTTTTTTGTGGCGCATTGAAAGCATCATTAATAATTCCAAACGTTTGCCAATTACATTCGAATCGATTATCAATTTATGCGTGAAAAAATACATTTAAAAATCAAAACGAGATAAAAGTATTATGTAAATGTTTTGGAATTAATTTAGCAAAATAAATTGAGGTTAAAATTAAAGGAGTTAGAACAAAATAGTTACATTTTTGCAAATAAATTGTTCTTTCTTAAATCTGTAAGCTAATATATTTTTTCCTTTTACAAAGAACTCTGCACTAAAGTATTAAGTAAAATGAATACATTTTAAGC